TTTGTTTGGAAGGTAATAGTGTTCCATGCACCTCAGCTACCTGACCATAGAAATGTTTTTGGACAACATTGGCTCCCTCAGCTAAGAAATGGAGATGAGCATCACCCCTTAAATTTGGACACAAGTGGACAGGAAAAACACAAATGCTATTTTTACTTATCTACTATTTATTTGGGGAGAGGGATATGGTTGCAAATGGGCCGGATTCCTCCTCTTTAAAAAAGGATGTTACTCAACAGCAAGGAAAGAAATCACAAGTGCTACGGGGGAAAAAAAAATCTACCGCAGTCTTTTGGCCCCGCAATTTTTTTTTTTCAGTACAAGAGAGAAAAACATTTTTTGCTCTAGAAGCTGCTTCTGTGTTAGGGTTCCAAGTAACACCCCCAACGAAAGAGAACTCCGAGGCTTGAAGTTTCTCAAAGTTCCATTTTATTAGAGATGCCATGTTGGCACATCTGGGAAAACCCGAATCTGAAAGCTTCCCGTTTTCCCCCACCCAGTTGAAAGTTCACAACTCTGCTTCCACATCTACAAGTTCATCACATGGTCCAATCCATCCTTCAGGCTCAACTGGAAACAATTCCCAGTCACTCCCATCCAGGTGCAGACAAATGTCCTTGAGCAAGGAATGTTGTTATGGCTATTCTTCCACTGCTCCAACCAAAAAAACCCTTCCAATTTCCCAGGTGAATATATGTGGCAGTTAGGAAGCTAAAAGAAAAAAAATGGCTTCCAAAACTGACATTCTGCCCAATTTACTCCAAAATTCACTTTGTGAAGTGATGGACCAGTTTCAGGCTTATAAAAAAGAAAAACCACATATGAAAAAAGAAAGAATTACTGAATTGGCAATTGGTTAATTCCTGCTGTTACATTGATGCTTGGGACCTAATGGAAAAGGGATTTTAGACTGTACTGAGTACACAGAGACCTTTCCAAAATACAATTGTTTTGGAAACAAGTGGACTAAACCATTTTCAGATAAGTCTGTCTTAGAGTAGTATTTCTCAGCTCCCAGAATTCCCTTGCTGGCTGGCAAATCTGGGAATTCAACTCCACACATTTTCAAGTTGCCAAGTTTGGGAAACACTGCTTTAGAGAACACAAGCACACCTTCAAATTCTCAGATAAGTCTGAGCAGCGTTCCTCATTTTCTTGAGTTCCATTTCCAGCTGGAGATTCTGGGAGTGAAGTCCACAGATCTTCAAGGTGCCAAAGTTGGGAAACAATGCTTTAGAGAGCACACATTGGCTGAGAGTGACAAGTAAACTTCCTGTCAGCTTTGCAAGCCATATTACCACCAGATGCTTCTCCACTGCCAACTTCTTGCGCTTGGGAAAATAGGAGGGGGGATTTAAAGGAGTGATTGTAGTTAGACATAATAGCATTCTTCCTTTCGGTCAAGGTGATGGTGTTTATGCATCTAGAGGAGGAGTGGTTGCAGGGATGGCTCAAGTTGGGACGGATGGTGATTGAGCTATGTGACAGACTGATGGGTGCAGGGGCTGGATTTGGGGTTTTGATTTACTGAGGGAAAACCCGGAACTCTCAAATTTGGGTTTTCCCAGATGTGCCAGTTCACCTTCTCTTAATAAATGGAACTTTGAAAAATGCCTGCCTCTGAGTTTTTACTTGGAGTTGGGGACTTGCTGGAACGCTGACACTTCCACCTTTAGTTTGCAAGGCCAAGGAAGACTTTTCAGGGGGAGATGGTGAGCTCCTGATGTCATAAATAAAAGAAGAATAAAAACTTCTTTCCCTGTATATCTATATTTGGCCATTTCACTACAAAAATAAATTACTGGTCAGATCAAGAGGAAGTGGAAGTTTCTGCAAAAAGAGGGGGAGGTTTCAGGGGAAAAAAGAAAGTTTTAGATCAAGGGAATTATCTATTGCTCAAAACCAGATGGAGACTTGCTGTGACTACTGTAGAACCTAGCAAACGAAGGGATTTTACAAACTAAAGGCTCTGCTTAGCCTGCCTGTCTTATTCATTTTATCTGCCATTGTTTATCCTCCACTGATCGAAAGTGCTAGGCCCATGCTCCGAGGGGAATGGAAGTTGTAATCAGTGGTGGGTTCTGCCCGGTTTCGCCCAGTTCCGCCAAGCCGGTAGCCGTGACGATATGATGTCACTGAACCGATTCACACACACCCCGCCCACCGCCCCCCACCCCACCCCCGCGTTATTCTTACCTTTTATTTGGCCCCACCCCCAATCTATTGCTGCCTCCTGAGTCCCAGCTGATGGGCTATAAGGAAAAACTATTTAGACACTTTCCACGGTGCTTCAAAGGGCTGCCCTACAGCTGATCAGTGGTAAAAGGCAGTTTGGTGATAGACCGGTGCCTCCAAAAACAAATGAGTAGACCGGTGCCTGCAGAAATAAATGGATAGACCGGTGCCTGTAAAAATAAATGGGTAGACCAGTGCCTGCAAAAATAAATTGGTAGACTGGTACAGCTCTGCAAGCAATTAAAAGCCTGGTAGACCAGTACCTCTGCTAAATCCTAAAGAATTGTCACATGACCATCAAGCCACGCCCACAAAATAAGCCACGCCCACAGAACCGGTAGTAAAAAAAATTAGAATCCACCCCTGGTTGTAATCAGAATACAGTAGCGGCCAAAATTGTGGAAACCTTTTGGGAAAAGTGTATTTTTGAGGTTTGATGGCTAATAACACCACCTTTTTATTTGGAGTTTCAAGGTAATCGTATTCCACTGTTGGAATGGCCTTGGAATAGCCCAGACCTTAACCCAATTGAAAATCAATGAAGCTGACTAAAGAAACTTGTTAGTCAGAAGTGACCCAGCAATAAAACCCAGTTAATAGAAGCGATCATTCAATCTTGGTTTCACATTAGAACAGCTGCAGAACTAAAAGACTTGGTTTACTCCATGGGAAGATGTTTTAAGGCCGTAATTCATGCTAAAGGTTATCCAACTAAGTATTAACTGATGTGATAATTTTTGTATATCTTGTTTTTTCTATGGTGATAATTTTTGTATATCTCGTTTTTTTCTACGTGTTTCACTTTTCTTCTTTATACTGTAACTGCTATTCCAAAACCAAACCCTTCATAAAAGTTATTGCATTACATTCTTGATTAAATTATTCTTTCCATTGGTATATAATTTGTACTACTACAAACAAACGTGGTATTATTAGCTAGTTTTAGAAAATACACTTTTCCCAAACGTTTCCACAATTTTGGCCACTACTGTATATTTCTGAGGGTGTCAGTTGAGGAAGGTTGATATATACATAACAATAAGCCATGGACATAATTATTATTCTAATTATTGCTATTGCCCCATAGCACTGTTTTTTGATAACTTGAAAGTGAATGAACTTCAACTCCCAAAATTCCAAGCTAGTGAAGGGATTCTGGGACTTGAGAAACACTGCTCTTGACAGCCTTATCTGAAAATGGTTTAGCCTGCTTGTTTTTTTGTTTTTTTAAAATGCATTTGGAAAAGCTTCTGCATTTCATACAGTCCAAAATCCCGCCAGTCACCCAGAATTCTGGGAGTTGAAGTCCATCCACTTTCCAGTGGTCAAGGGTGAGAAACACCGCCCCAAAACAATCCAAGGCAGGATGGAGGTCTTTTCATGGAAGGTTATGGAGTGTGATCTACCATACTGGGCCAATGTGGATTGGTGGATAGATATCCAGTTGGAAGTTGGAAGGGACCTTGGAGGTCTTCTAGTCCAACCCCCTGCTTAGGCAGGAAACCCTACACCACTTCAGACAGATGGTAATCTAATCTCTTCTTAAAAATTTCTAGTGTTGGAGCATTCACAACTTCTGGAGGCAAGTTGTTCCACTGATTAATTGTTCTAGCTGTCAGAAAATTTCTCCTTAGTTCTAGGTTGCTTCTCTCCTTGATTAGTTTCCACCCATTGCTTTTTGTCCTACCCTCAGGTGCTTTGGAGAGTAGCTTGACTCCCTCTTCTTTGTGGCAGCCCCTGAGATACTGGAACACTGCTATCATGTCTCCCCTAGTCCTTCTTTTCATTAAACTAGACATACCCAGTTCCTGCAGCCGTTCTTTATGTTTTAGCCTCCAGTCCTCTAATCATCTTTGTTGCTCTTCTCTACACTCTTTCTAGAGTCTCAATGCCTTTTTTACATGGGGCGACCAAAATTGGATGCAGTATTCCAAGTGTGGCCTTACCAAGGCATTATAAAGTGGTATTAACACTTCACGTGAACAAATTATCATTTGATTTCCCAAAGAAATGCATGATTCCTAGTTGGCTTCTATGCTGAAGGGAGAACTAGAATTTGATTGTCTCTGCTCTTGGTCCAGCATCTTAATCTCAGTGGCTGTGTCCTTGATCATATGCAACTCCAACCCTCCTAGATTTTTGCAGCATGTTATAACAATTTCATTTCATTTGTGAACTCGGTCCAAGCTGAATGGCGGCAGTATAGTAGTTTTTAGGCAGAAACTGTAGATTGTTTCAACTGTATTGTTTTTAGAAATAGAAATAGACTAACAGAGTTGGAAGGGACCTTGGAGGTCTTCTAGTCCAACCTCCTGCCCAGGCAGGAAACCCTACCCCAATTCAGACAAATGGTTATCCAACATCTTCTTAAAAACTTCCAGTGTTGGAGCATTCACAACTTCTGCAGGCAAATTGTTCCACTGATTAATTGTTCTAACTGTTCTAATTTCTCCTTAGTTCTAAGTTGCTTCTCTCCTTGATTAGTTTCCACCCATCGCTTCTTGTTCTACCCTCAGGTGCTTTGGAGAATAGCTTGACTCCCTCTTCTTTGTGGCAGCCCCTGAGATATTGGAACACTGCTATCATGTCTCCCCTAGTCCTTCTTTTCATTAAACTAGACATACCCAGTTCCTGCAACCATTCTTCATATGTTTTAGCCTCCAGTCCCCTAATTTTATTTTATTTTACTATCCATTCGCTAGAGTCTGTTGAGAGTATGGCAGGTTAGAAATGTTGCAAGATAAATAATTGAGATATTTAGATACCAGATGTAGTTGGCATGCATTTCTGATTGCAAACACTATTCCTTGATGACCCTTCAAAGGTGGATACACCGTAAAGAATGCAGCTGCAAGATTGTAAGCAACCTACGGTAGAAAAGGTACAACCACTGGTTATAAAAGAACATCATCAGTTACCAACATGTTCAAGTTCAGGTCTAGGTATATGATGTTGTTGAAAGCCCAAAACAGTTTGGAATTGTGATATTTCATGGAACACCTTTCCAAGTATATCTTAGGGCAGTGATGGCTAACCTTTTCCAGACCGAGTGCCCAAAGTGTGCCCCTGCATGCCCCCTGCCCCCCCATGCATGCGCCCACCACATGCCCCCTGCCCCCTGTGCATGCAGGGCCCCCCGCGCACACCCCGCCCCCCACTCATGCGCAGCATATACCCGAAGAGCAGCTGGCCGGTGGGTGGTGTGCACACATGCACACCAGAGCTGAACTGGGGGGACAGCTCACGTGCCATCAGAGGGCGCTGCGTGCCACCTCTGGCACGCATGCCATAGGTTCGCCATCACGGTCTTAGGGGTTTGTTAAATTAAGTTGGAAACTGAGAAATTAAGATTGCCCATAACATGTTTGTAAAATACCAGATGTATCCATTAGCCAAAAATTCACACCTAAAATTCACACCTAAAATATTCACACCTAAAAATTCTAAAATTCACACCTAAAATATTGAATACTTAACAGGATTACAGACAACAGAGTTGGGTGGGGCCTTGGAAGTCTTCTTGTCCAACACTCTGCTCAAGCAGTAGAACCTATAACATTTAGATAAGTGGCTGTCCAATCTCTTCTTCAGAACCTCCAGTGTTGGAGTATCCACAACTTCTGAATCTGAAAGCAAGCTATTCCACTGGCTAATTGCTCGAATTGTTAGGAAATTTCTCCTTAGTTTTAGGTTGCTTCTTTCTTTGATTAGTTTCCATCCATGCCCTCTTGCCTTGCCTTTTGGTGCATTGGAAAATAGGTTGACCCTCTTTCTTTGTGTACTATACTTCTAAGTAAAGAATGGTTTGCAAATGCCTAAATTAAGTTCACAGGTAAAAAGATTGTTAAAGGCAAATTATTGTCCATCACAGTTCCAGGGAAGGGAAGAATTCCAGACAATCAATGATGGGAACTGCTGGATATAAGTTTTATTCGTAAATGAAAGATCTGCAAAGATCCATCTCTGAAGTAGAGTTTCCACGTATACAGCAATCTTAGCAAAACTTAGCACATCAGCAAGTGCTAGCAGTGGTTCTCTTTTCACACTCTTTCCTCCTCATTTTGAGACTTCAGTTTTTGGCAACAAATTTGTAATCTTGCAACCCACCTCTCTTTAAACTGTTTCCTAGTCTTCTGTTTTTGCCACTATGGACTTCTTCTAGCCTTATTGCCAGCAATGGAATGAAAACATGATTTTTTTAACCCTTCGTATTTTCCAGGGACACGGTAGCTCAGTGGATGCTGGGCATGTCGATTGAAAGGTTGGCAGTTCAGCGGTTCGAATCCCTAGTGTTGCATAATGGGGTGAGCTCCCATTACTTGTTCCAGCTTCTGCCAACCTAGCAGTTCGAAAGCACGTAAAAAATGCAAGTAGAAAAATAGGGACCACCTTTGGTGGGAAGATAACAGCATTCCACGTGCCTTTGGCGTTTAGTCATGCCGGCCACATGACCACGGAGACGTCTTCGGACAGCACTGGCTCTTTGGCTTTGAAACAGAGATGAGCACCGCCCCCTAGAGTTGGGAACGGCTAGCACATATATGCAAGGGGAACCTTTACCTTTACCTATTTTGCAGAACCTTTGCAAAAAATAAAGCATGAAAAATTGTACAAGGACCAGAATCAACAGAGTTCATGTCAACTCTCTTTTTCCAAAGGATACAAGTAATCTTGGAGATATAGGTGGTTTTTTTTTTAATTGAATGATTGCAATAGTTTTATAGTTGGTGACAAACAAAGCTAAAATGTTTTAATATGTTACATGTCTTAGAGTAACAAAGATGATCAATGTGCAGAGAAAAAAAGGCAGGAAAGATGACCGAAGTGCATTTTAGTCCAATGCATATTTATTGAGAAGTACAAGCTAAGGTTTGGTCTTTTTCCCATTCAAATAAATCCCACATCATAATGGGCAGGTAGATTTACAGTGACTTACAATACGGTCTTCATAGTGAGTGCCAGTACATCAACTCATCTTACCAACAGTCCTTTTAATCAACGCTAAAGTGCTTTTCTTGCTATTTTTTAAAAGTTTAATTCCCTTTAATGGAATACCACTCTATCCTATATAGCTTTTTCTGACTTATTTTTCCAAAAAGTTATCATATTCTGATCAGTGCTATTCTAGTAATGTAATAGCAGTGGCCAGAAAAGTATTGTTAAATCATTTTTCTAATGGAATTTATTCTATGGCATAATAATATGTATTATACTGGGCAATAGGATAAAATTATCCAGCGAGAAGATGGAAATTATTTTCTCTGGATGTTTCAAGGAGAGGTCAAACCTCCGTCTGTTCATAATCATAATCATAAGTTTATTTGTCAAGCATATATAAGATAACAGGTAAAAGTATAAACATAATTTGAATACATAAAAAGAGTAAATAAAAAGGAATATTAGGACAGGGATGGTAGGCACGTTGGTGCACTTATGCACGCCTCTTACAGACCCTTTAGGAATGGGATGAAGTCAACAGTAGACAGTTTAAGGTTAAAGTTTTGGGAGTTTGGGGAAGAAACTACAGAGTCAGATAGTGCGTTCCAGGCATTGACCCCTCTGTTACTGAAGTCATATTTTCAGCAATTGAGTTTGGAGCGGTTTGTATCTATTATTTGCTTGTGTATTGTTGTGGTTGAAGCTGAAGTGTCATTGACAGGAAGGATATTGTGGCAGATAATTTTATGTACCCACAGTAGCTGGAAGGGAGTGACTTCTACAACCCGCGAAATTGCTTTGTTGGGGAATGTCACTGATGACACATATTGGGGGGAGGGGAAAACAGGGTCAGAGGCAAAGCCCAAATTAACTAAGGTTAGAGTTGGCTCCACCTGGTCTGTGCCGGCATGAAGCTCTTAATAAATAACTGGATTTCTTTTGAAGCTTGGCGGGAGGTTCATGATTTAATTAGGGCATCTGGCGGAACCCTGACACTCCAGAGATTTCATTTTGTTATATTGTGTACTTTTAGTATGATTCAGATTTGCATATTAAAAGATCCGTAGTGCCCTCTCAAAGAACACACATAATGCTCAAATGAATCAAGATCTCCCACTAAGACAGACAGACAGATAATAGGTAGGTAGGTAAGTAGATAGATAGATAGATAGATAGATAGATAGATAGATAGATAGATAGAATGTATATGTGGTGTTTGTATATGTGTGTGTTAGTCAGATGTGACACAGAGGTAGAACAAATTAAAAATGGCATCATGAAATGGATGCAAACCTTTAAAGAAACAGTCACAAACCAACAATGGGAAGAATTATGGAATAAATTTGTAAAATCTACCCCAAGATATCAGTTCAAATCTTTATTGTCAGTGCACAACATATATACAATGAGATTGGTTGAGCTCCCTCAGCGCACCCCTTCCCCAACACAATACAACTCACAGTGAAGACAGGAAATCCCTAACCCAATAAATCATATTAACAAAACACCCAGTCCTATTGCACCAGTATGAGCATGTTACACGTTGTGCCGGCCCTGCAGTCCATCATACTACATAATTATGATGTTATTTCTCATTCAGGAGTCTAACAATCCACAGATAAAAACTATTCTTCAGCCTGTTTGTGCAGCTGACTATACTTCTATATATCCTTCCCCAGAGGTGGGTTTCAGCAGGTTCTGACCAGTTCTGAAGAACCGGTAGCAGACATTTTGAGTAGTTCAGAGAACAAGTAAATACCACCTCTGACTGGCCCCGCCCCCATCTATTCTCTGCCTCCCGAGTCCCAGCTGATTGAGAGGAAATGTGGATTTTGCAGTAACTTTCTCCTGGAGTGGGGAAGGAATAGAGATTTTACAGTATCCTTCCCCTGGAGTGGGGTGGGAATGGAGATTTTACAGTATCCTTCCCCTGCCACACCCATCAAGCCACGCCCACCAAGCAATGCCACGCCCACAGAACCGGTAGTAAAAAAATTTGAAACCCACCACTGATCCTTCATGATGGTAGGAGGGTAAAGGGTGAGAGTCATCCCTATATATAAAGAGAAAACATATTAAATGTATTACAGATGATATATAACTCTGTCAATAATCGCCAATATAAATCGTTCCTGTTGAAAATGTCATGAACCAGAAGGAACCCTTTACTGTATGTGACGGACACATTAAAAAAAAAAGTGGAAAGACATACCCACTCAGAAAACTTTAGAAATCAAACTTGAAATGAAACATAATTCTTCTTAGGCACAATTCCAAAATCTGTTAACAAAAAATATCACAGTTTACTAAAATGCATGTTTATTACTGTAATGATAAATTTAGCACAACACTGGAAAAGAGAGACATTACCAAAGAAAGAAAACTGGGAACTTAAAGTTGGAGAACATGTAGTAACAATAAACAGTATTTATCCACAACAGACGTTTAACCAAATTTAAGCAAGAGTAGGTTTTACACATACTGTATGTTATATAACAAGGCAAATACAAGTATTTAGAGTACAGTTTTATAACGGGGAAAAAGAACTGACTGAAGAACTGAAATCAGAAACGCACACAAATATGTAATGTCTGTAAATACTACCGTTGCGAACCGGTAGTAAAGATAAGTAGAACCCACCCCTGCCTCAGAGTTCCTCTAACCACGAATGGCTAAAACCTGCCTCTCGATTCTAAGGCAGGAAGCTAATGAAAATTAGGCATAAGCCATAAATTATGCACCTCGATTAAAAAAAACAAAAACCAAAGAATTCCCTCTATTAAATGCTCCTTAAATAATCCATCCCTACTCATAAGTAGCATCATGCCCATTTTGCAGCTTTCCATCCCATTCTTGGGTCAAGCTGGGTATTTTCTTTCCCAAAGAAAGAAATCAGCTATGTACAAAACAAGAAGTTGATGGCCCTTTCATAGCCAGCGAGGGAGGAGTTAAAAATTAGGCTGCATGCTCCAAGCAAACTGAAATGGCCTTTCATAGCAGAGACTGCAATTTTTTTTCTCCCTCCCGGCGATTTTCTAAGCCAGCATTCAGTGTCTCCCGCTTAACTGATGTGCCCTTGCAAAACTTGTGCAATTCATCCTAGCAAACAAAAGGCATAGTTGCTAAGAGAGTGTCAGCATGGCGATACATAAAACAGAGGGGAAAAAGGGGGCGGCTTTAGGTTTTGCAAAAATGTTTTCTCTTCTTAAATGTTGTTTCTTTCTGTTCCTCCTCTCCCTCCCCCCAATCCTCCCCCCCTCCCCAGCCCTGGGCTTTATCCTTTCAGCCAGAGTTGCTTTTCCTTTCAACAGCTTTGTACTTTTTGGGTGAAAGTAGCCAAACGACATTGGCCCAGAGGTTTAATTTCTTTGTTATAAATGCCAGTTCTGAGCTCTGTTTGGCACTTGGGACCAAAATGTTGTTCTGCATGATCTATCTGTGTTTTCACCTGGCAAGCTTGGAGGTCAAATCCTTTAAACACTTTCTTCTTGTGAATGTCTTCTGCAAACATAACTTAACAAAACATAGAAGAATAGAGTTGGAAGGGACCTTAGAGGTCTTCTAGTCCAACCCACTGCTTGAGCAGGAAATCCTCTACCATGTCAGATGAATGGTTGTTACTTGAAAGCCTCCAGTAATGGAGCATCCACAACTTCTGAAGCGATTTCATTGGTTAATTGCTCTCATCGTTAGGAAATCTTTCCTTAGTTCTAGGTTGCTTCTCTTATTGGTTAGTTTCCATCCATTGTTTCTTGTCCTGCCTTCTGGTGCTTTGGAGAATAGGTTGACCCCCCTCATCTTTATAGGAGCCCCTCAAATATTGGAACACTGCTATCATATCATCCATAGTCCTTCTTTTCATTAGAGTAAAGGTAAAGGTTCCCCTCGCACATATGTGCTAGTCGTTCCCGACTCTAGGGGGCGGTGTTCATCTCTGTTTCAAAGATGCCGAAGAGCCAGCGCCGAAGAGCCAGCGCTGTCCAAAGACATCTCCATGGTCATGTGACCGGCATGACTAAACACCAAAGGCACGTGGAATGTTGTTACCTTCTCACCAAAGATGGTCCCTATTTACATGCTTTCAAACTGCTAGGTTGGCAGAAGCTGGGACAATGGGAGTTCACCCCATTACACGGCCCTAGGGAGTCAAACCGCTGAACTGCCGGTCTTTCGATCAACAAGCTCAGCATCTTAGCCACTGAGCCACCATGTCCCTTTATTTATTTATTATATTATATTATTATATTTATTATATAATTAATTATTATCCCTTTATTAGACTAGACATACCCAATTCCTGTAACCATTCTTTGTATGTTTTAGCCTCCAGTCCTTTAATAGCAATAGCAATAGCACTTAGACTTATATACCGCCTCATAGTGCTTTACTACCCTCTCTAAGCGGTTTACAGAGTCAGCCTATTGCCCCCCACAATCTGGGTCCTCATTTTACCCACCTCGGAAGAATGGAAGGCTGAGTCAACCTTGAGTTGGTGAGATTTGAACTGCTGAACTCCAGCTAGCAGTCAGCTGAAGTCGCCTGTAGTACTGCACTCTAACAACTGCGCCACCTCAGCTCTTAATCATTCTTGTTGCTCTTCTATTTCAACATTCATTAGATGTATCATCAGTCCAATATATATTTACTTCCTTATCTAAAATGGAGCATAAACAGCCTTTCTCCTTCACATGTTGGCCAAAGCCTAGATTGGGCTCATGTGATATAATTTCCTTTGGTTTCAAGTGAGCTTTGTCAGTTGTTGTGCCTTTGGTATACTATGGTTAAGCAAACAATGGGTTAGTGCAATGTGTGAATCCAGTTACTAAATCTGGCTATAAGTTTGAGGGTTCCAGGACAAAATTCCACTTTGTGCTTCTACTCAAAAAATCATTTTTATATCAGGGAGTATGGGAGGCAAGTTAAAAAGAGAAGAAGTGAAACTTCCAACAGAGAGATGATGGATAGAAAGAACCTTTAAAAAATAATAATAATAAGATTGGCTGTACTGAGAATTAGAATAGAGGTAAGAAATTAGAAACGGGGAATATTGTTATACATATTTTTACATAACACATTTAAAGTGAATGTTAAAGGTTAGGATTAGATTTTGAAAAAGGATGATATCAGATATGCCCAAGAATAATGTTATGACTATTAGAAGGATGTAGCAAATATTGAATAATTGAAAAATGAAGGAATATGTGCTGATATAAATATGTATTATAACATTAGACCACGTAAGTTTGATTAATGTAGTAATTTTTATTTGTATAAATATTGGTTTTGTATCAAAATGAATGATACTCAGACACCACACTGTCCGTGCAATGATACTGATGATAATGATGTATGTTTAAAAATAAAAAAAAACTTTAATTCCCCCCCTGCCCAAAATGATATAAATCTTGCAAATAAATAAGAAATATCTTCTCCTGCGTATTATTTTGGTGGAGACAGATGGAAAAAGCTGCTTCTCTTCTTCAGGCCTTATTCAAGAAAACATTTGCTGAATTACATGCAAATTAAAACTCGGTTTCTAGAAAGCCTACAGCTAATTGTGGGATGTGGAGGCCGAACTTCGGATGAGGAAGGCTATCAGATGAATTTCAAGTAGTAAAAAGGAGGGAAAAAACAGAAAAAACTAATTTCTTAAATATTTGTCTTCGTTTTAACATTGATTTGGCTTCTCAATGTTTTTTCTATTTGGGGTATAAGTAGGTGTTTAGGAATTTCCTGGTAATGTGACAAGAATGGACAATGACAACAGCTATTTGCATTGTCTTTAAAAACAGATGACGCATTTACTCACTCGTGGTTAAAAAGTGGGAGGGAAGAGAGAGAGAGCTTTAAATAATATGAATATTTAATTTAAACAATATGAGAATAATATGAGAAAGGAATAAGCAGAGCCAGATGTATTTGGGCTACAAGATCTTGGCTGCAGAAACCCTATGCGACTAGTAGGTGGCAGCTAGGGGTGGGTTCTACTTACCTTTACTACCTGTTTGCAACGGGACTGCATGCGCGCAATTGCTTTGCTCATGTGCGCGCACACTTCTGCACATGTGCAAAAACTTCCTGATGACATGTGGATCGGTGGGCGGAGCCTCCCACTGGTTTTACTACCGGTTCTTGCAAACCGGTCCGAACCAGGGGCAACCCACCACTGGTGGCAGCAAATACATCCAGAAAACTCATATCATTAGTTGCCATCTAGTGGTTGTACTGATTTTTGCAATGCAGAATCCCAGGATAAAGAAACAGCTGCTTTAATGAGCTGCTCATTAAGTCCTGCAGGTTCCCAAATACCTTTTCCTAAATCACATCTGAAACACTGAATATCAGGGGTGAAATGCTCCCGGTTTGGACCGGATCGCCCGATCAGGGAGCGATGGTGGGTGGTTCGGAGAACCGGTAGCAAAAATCCCTGCGCCCCCCCCCCCGCTCAGCTGAGCCGCACAATCATCAGAGGCTTTTTTTTTTACTTTTAAAAGCATTTTTTCTTTTTTTTCTTTTTTTAATTTTTTATTGTATTTTTATTGTTAAAGAATAACAGGGGAAAAAAAACAATACAAAAATCAATAGTAAAGAAAGAAAAAATGTTTCCCCCCAACGTGCTATACAAATGGAAAGGAAGTTTTAGGAAATTAAAGTCTTCAATTCAACAACCTCTTCTGAAGAAAAAATGCTTTTAAAAGTAAAAAAAAAAGCCTCTGATGATCGTGCGGCTCAGCTGGGATCATCAAAGGCTTTTAAAAGAAAAAAACCCTTTTTTTCTTTTAAATGCCTCTGACGATCCAAGCTGAGTTGCCTGATCGTCAGAGGCATTTAAAAGAAAAAAAGTCTCTGCCGATCAGACAACTCAGCTGGGATCATCAGAGGCTTTTGAAAGCATTTTTTTACAACCTCTTCACCGAAGAGGTTGTAGAAAAAATGGTTTTAAAAGTAAAAAAAAAAAATTGGCCACGCCCACCCAGTCACATTATCCCACCACCACCAAGCCACGCCCAAAGAACCAGTAGTAAGAAATTTTAGATTTCACCCCTGCTGCATATCCATTATTATTATCATTATTTATCAGCAGTAAAATTCGTAGTAGCATTTCATTACATTTCAAATGACACAGACATAAAAACAGGTGAAGATTCAATGACTCCCACCATGACTTCTTTAATCATACCTTGCAGGCATCCATGGCAGGGGAGATTTATAGCACTGCTGTTTCTTTCTCTACCTAATTTCCTCTTTTTCTAAATAGGCGTTTCTTCCAACTTCCCCTGCTGATAAAGCTATTGCAAGGGGAAATTGGAAAGGGAAATAAAATATATTTCTTGAACTGGAAAAATTTCTTCTCTGCTTTGTTTTGGGGTTTTTTGGGCAGTGGTAAGAGGAGATGCAAAATTGCCTTAGCTTTTTCTTCTCAGAACATCCCTTTTTATCACGTGGTAGCTATCTATAACCTATCAAGGGCTGGTAGATGCATAATCCACTTTAACTAACAGATTAACAGAGTTGGAAGGGACCTTGTAGGTCATCTAATCCAAACCCCACCCCAAGCAGGAGACCCTACACCATTTCTAACAAATGGCAGTCCATTTGTTGAAAGCTTCTTGAAAGCTTCCAGTGATGAAGCTCTCACAATTTAGAGCAAAGAAACAATCCTTGCTTATCATAAGATCTCATAAAACATTCCTATTCTAGCAGAAATGTAGTACAGGTGGTCCTCGATTTACGACCACAATTAAGCCCAAATGTTTTGTTGTTAAGTGAGACATTTGTTTAAAAAAATATTTATTTATTGGTTTGATTTATATGCCACCCTTTCTCCGGAGACTCAGGGTGGCTTACAATGCGTTAAGCAATAGCCTTCATACTTTTGTATATACCTGCTTAGTAGGGCTTTTTGGGCCCCCCAAGCGGTGTTCTTTTTAATACAAAGTCAGCTTATTGCCCCCACAAACCAGGTCCTCATTTTAACTACCTCGAAAGGATGGAAGGCTGAGTCAACCTTGAGCCTGGTGAGATTTGAACTTGCAGTAATTGCAGGCAGCTAGTGCTAGTTAACAGCACTTTAGCACCAAGGCTGCCACCAAGCAAAAATGAGTTTTGCCCCATTTTATGACCATTCTTGCCACAATGGTTAAGTGAATC